CCCCCCCCACACACACGAACAGGACCACGTTTTTTTGGGTGAGAAGAAAGCTCACCACAGTGACGTTTTGACGCTGGTAAAAAATGTCCTTGAACTCGTCCATCCAGACTTCTGCCACACGGGCGCGGTTCCTCAGCAAAACTTCTCGGAAGTTGGAGTTACGACTGGGCAGACGTTTCCGGAAAACGTGACCGACTCTAGAACAGGGCAACACTTCAACAGATCCTCCACACATCCAGACCTAATAGAGAGGGAGTCACATTTAATCAATGCATTCATTGTGAATGTGTTCATTGTACATGACACGAAATGAAACAATTAATGGAGCCAGCTGCCTCAGCCCTGCCCTGACTGTCAGCGTCACAAATAATAATAATAATATGTAAATGGGATATCGCAGCAGGGACACAAAGACAGCCAAGTAAACAATTTTCCTATGTGGAAATCGAACTTTTGTGTCGAAAAGTGAAAGGGCGAGGGATATAACTACAATAACTTTTCTACCAAATGACGTTAACCCATATCCCCGCATAGAGCAAAAACTTTTACAACTAACTGTTATTGTGTGGAAGGGTATTATGCCCTTTGCGCAACAGTAGGCAATTCAAGATGCGGGACCCGTAAAATCAACATTCAGTTCCTTTTTCGACTTGCCACGTAGGGACAGGAAAGTTATGAAAAAACTGCTCAAACTCCCCCAGACCAAGAACGTGTATTTCACTAAGCACCATCTACAATAGAAATACAATCAATATGATTATGTCGTAATAAGAACAGTCAAAAATGCCTCCAAAAGAGCATTCAGAAATCTTAACTCGTAGCATTTTAAAGATTCTTTTATATTTTCAAGAGGGAGAGCAAAACAACCGTCTGATCTCAAGAATCAGAAAATGTGTGGTTGGTGGGGTCCCTGGTGTGGTTTGCTTTCCTTTCAATCATCTATCTCCCTTATCTTTCCTCGTTCTTTTTTCGTGTTTACTAGTCGTTCTCTAATCATCGGTACTTATAATATGACCTTATTGTGTTTCACATGATGTAATCCCCAAATAAAGGCTTCATAAATACCAGCTGTGTTGTGGTGTAATTTTTTGTTATATCTAGATCAAGGCTTTAGGCGCCCTCTTTGTGGAGTCAAGCAGACACCTACCGGCTCCTGTCCGCGTCGATCTTCAGCCCCTTAAATTTCGGCGTTCTCTATGTTATCGCGCTGTCACGTGAAAATCGTCCTCCGAGTCGTTTCCAACTCTATGCTCGAGAACAAGTGTGTGAATACGTGTGTTTCTCCTAACTCTTGCTCGTGTGTTAATACATGTATCAGTGGCTTCGTGTGGGTTGCAGACAAGGTGGTGCATTAATGGAAAGATTTCTAGAGAGAGTCAGTTAAAATCTGCAGGGTAACCCTTAATCTACATCTATCGATATTTACAACTGCTTCTAGATGAAACCACATAAAATTTTAAAAAGCTGAAATAAAGTAAAACTATACTAACAACTCACTATGCTCCCAATCTGAGAAGATTTAAAGATTTTTAATTACTTCGTGCAGCACCAACAACCAGAATCAATTTGAAAATTTACCTTAACAGAACTTGCCACGCAATAGAGGGAGACAACAGTTTCGATACCCATTCTTGATTTCATTGAGTTACTATAGACTCTAGTGTAGTAGATAGGCTAGCGGAAACTTGGGTCAAATTTTTTGCTTGCACAAAATTGGTGCTGCGAAGAGGAGTTTCATGCACCTTTCTTCTTGTGCGGGAAGAACGATGCCTAAATTTCTCTACAGTGACAAAATTACTTTGGTGCAAAGATTTTGCTTGCTATCAGCAGACACTACCGCAAGCGGTGCGGCGAGCATAAACCATCCTCGCTGCGGAGTCACTAATCATCTCCGCTCACTGTCTGTCTTTTCACTGGCGCAGCCAGCGGGTGACGGATCGCAAGGATGTAGATATAGTATTGTAGGTCTAGAACACTGGCTGCTTTAGAACAATTAGAGAAGGGGGGGGGGGATGAGGGCCAGGGTTAGGTGGATCGCTTGAACCAATTGCACCAATGGTGTCCCGCCACCAGTTAATATATTAGTTAAGTGGAAATAAACAAGAAGAAAGAAAAGAAGTGGGGGATGAAAACAAAGGACAATCCCTGTGGTGTTTAGTGTTTATGATTTAGAAAATTCATGCATCAGCAGTAGACTGGAAAACAGAATTAATATTAAAAATTTGGGCAAAATCGACCGTCTCAACTTTTTGTAACAAGTAACACAAAGTGTCAGAGCAGTTTGCCATAACACCAGGTCAAGCCGTAATAAAGCGGACGAATTAAATGATTACATTACTGAAATGCACCTCGATATTTTATGTATTACAGAATCATTGTTGCAGGAGTACGGTGACGATGCTATTTTATCAGCAATATGCCCAGTTGGTTATTTAATTATTTCTCCCGTGTCGGGCGTAGAGGGGGGATGAGTAGCGTTTATTTATAGTACTAATTTAGCACAAGTTACAGTGAAAAAGATTCCCTGTCACCCATGTGAGGCTGCTTTACTGTCATTCCAGCTGCAGTCCCAAAGCACTACCATCTGCTGCATTTACAGGCCACCACCGAGTAAAGCAAATTATATCAAACCATCCGTTTTTATGGAGGAATTTCTAAATTTATTTTCAACTCTGAAGACGAAAATTAAAAGTGCACCATTCGTTATAACTGGCGGTTTGAATTTTCACTTTGGCTCTGAGAACCCTGTCAATAAAAATATGCAACCTGCAGACAGAAAATGATTTAAAACAACTCGTCCAACACATAAAAGTCAGAATACCCTAGACTGGTTTATTTTATCAGTCGAAAAGAACTGTGTGAAAAGCATAAACGTTCTGAACACACACACACACACACACACACACACACACACACACACACACACAGAGAGAGAGAGAGAGAGAGAGAGAGAGAGAGAAAGAGAGAGAGAGAGAGAGAGAGAGAGAGAGAGAGAGAGAGAGAGAGAGAGAATGGAAATGTTTTCTATTTGTAGATAACGAATGTTTTAATGAATGTTTCTAGTTACTCCCGTTTCAATTTTATTGTGACCGTTCGTGAATTTTTATTGCATTGTATATTTTTAGTGAACGCATTGCCAACCTCACTGCGAGAATGTTTTTCTCACAGACATTTTTACACATATATACATAGATATTATATGCATAACACTTTGTTTTTTGTATACGCATGTCGATTAATTGTTTAGATGTGATGTCTTTTTCGATGTAATGTGCATTGAGCTTCTTTTTTTTAGAAAATGGAAATGTGAGGTACATTTAGAAAATGGAAATGCGCAGTATAAATCCTATATATTTTCATAATTATTAGAGGCGCTGATAGTCATCTTGTCAGACGGATCAGTACAGCGTGGAGTCAAACCTGGATGGGCTTTCAGGGCCCGTATAAACGGGGCTATAAAAAGAGAGCTGCCAGGCACCAGTAATACAACCACGTCCGGCATCTGCATGGAGATGAAAGCCATCACAGAGGCCCTCAACTGGATTAAGACGACTGAGTATCAGTCTGCCACCCTCGTCACTTACTCGATGAGTACCCTCGAAGAAGTGAAGAAACACATGACGTATGCAGACAGGCGAGAGGTAATACGAAGCAGCAGACTCATAAAGATTGTATGTATCTTTAGCCCTGGTCATGCAGGAGTTCCAAGCAATGAATAATGTGCTGATAAGCTAGGGGGCGGCCAGGCTAATATTGGCGGCACCATACAATTGTGAGGCAGCGTGGTGGAATCAGGCTCTCGTCAATTTTTGGGCATGTAAAGGTACTGGTATCAGCTTAAAGCTTGTTCACTTGTCTTTATTTGGATGAAAAAGGTATCCATTTATCTTGAATGCAAGTCGAGATATTTACAAAAGAAGGAGGTGGGGGTCACTTGTTTTTAGAGGTAAAATTAGTGAGAAAATGGCTGCCAACGGTTAGTTATTTCATTAGTTTAAGAGTCCGTGGTAACTAAAAATGTACATTTTCTGTGCCTTTAACCAACTTTTTTCAGAAAAATCCACACAGAAATGAGTTCTTTAATATGCATGAAAGGTGTTGAGCCGAAAAACAAATATTTAATACAAATTCACAAACCTGCAGAAAAATGCAAGTTTCTTCATTTTGATTATTTTGACGAGAGGCTGATTCCACCACGCTGCCTCACAATTAGATCCGCCAACGGTCATGGCAGCATTGACAGCATGTTTCAACGACCACAGAGAAGATGAAGGCACCACATTACACTCAATGAAAAAACTGCGGGCAGCTGGTGTCTCTAGGGGGTCGGAGAGGGACAGCACCCTGTGTGGGAAAGCCAGAAGAATATCCAACCAGCTGATAACTGGCACGATTAACAAGCAGACCCTTTCATGGATCCTGGAATGGGAGCGAGGACAGTTATGGTACTGTGCCGCCTGCAATGATGCCTATTCTCCAACCAAGTAAGTTAATAAGTAAGTAACCCTTGGACACCATTTACATATCAAAAACATGTTTTAAGTGTGGTATGCTTTTGCATACCAGTGTATGTATTGCTCACATGAATGTGTGTATGATGTGAATGAATGACACGGGAATGCATGCGTGTGTACATGTGTATGTCCTTTCATAAACCTTCACGTATGCCTACAGGGCAAATTCCTCCATCTTACACGAAAGGACATTTCCAGGTTTTCTCCACCCCATATTTCCATGCCGTCGTCGTACGTCCCGATGTCTTGAAAATACTTTCTGTTGATGGTAAAGAGACCGCCAGCCATTGTAGGTGACCTGAAATAAAATTAAACCTGCAATGCATAAATAATCATAATAGTAATCACTATAATAATATTAAGGATAGTAAAAAATATAACAACAGAAACTTAAATGATAATAAACAATGATGGTGATGATGATGATGATGGTGATGATGATGGTGATGATGATGATGATGATGATGATGATGATGATGATGATGATGATGATGATGATGATGATGATGATGATGATGATGATGATGATGATGATAATGATGATGACTTTTAATACCTTTATCATAACACAAAATACATGTGCATACATGAACATACAAGCCCTGCTCCGGGGGGGGGGGGGGGGAGTGGGGGTTGTTTCTTTTTGTTTTCTATAAACAACGGAATCTTAAGTGAAACGGGGTCGTGAACTATGGAATATCAGGTGGAGACTACAATGATAGACTAGCTGGGCCCCCTTTTGATGAAAGGAATGATCGGTGCATTAACATCAACGGAATATCATTGGTCTACTATCTCTCTCTCTCTCTCTCTCTCTCTCTCTCTCTCTCTCTCTCTCTCTCTCTCTCTCTCTCTCTCTCTCTCTCTCTCTCTCTCTCTGTCTCTCACACTCACTTTCACTCTCAATCTACTGGAAAGGAGCAATAAATCTTGAGAGAAAGGTGACACATGTGTTTCTAAGTTGTCAAATATATAATAGATGCATATATTGATTCTCTATTCCACTTTCGTGGTTGTACACTCCAGAACTTCAAAGGTGTGGAATGAGTGCGCACTCATGGTGAACGGAAGCCTCACTTGCTCTCAACAACGTCTAAAACGACGGACTTTCCCAAGATTAGATTGAAACGAAACTATTGAAAATTAAACTACTATGACTTCAGACTCCTCAGTAAAACTGTTCACCATTTCAATGATTCTGAATCAGGGTTAATTTTGGCAAATACAATATGTATAGATTAAACCGGGTACAGTACTATTAAAGGAGATTCAAACTCTTTCCACCCACCCCCTTTCCTTGTTGCTGTTAAGCTGGTACTGAATTTTTTTTAAACTGTCCCCGCGGTTTTATGCACACAAAAAATCTGAAATTATGCAAACTGAGCCCAAAAAAGTAAAATTATGCTATTCTGTTAATTGTAACAAAGAATGATAAAGGAAAATAATCAGAAATTATTTTTTTTAAATGATCAAATTTTGCTTAATTATGCGGATTACATAAAACCCAGGAGACAGTTTTAAAAATATGGAGCAGCAAGGATATCTATATTTGACATCAGTAATAGTAATGAGATAAATGGGTTTTAAAATATGAAATATGTCTAGAGACTTTTCTAATCTCAAGGACCTCAGAATAAAACAAACCCTCTTTCCAACCTAGATTTTTAGTGCTAGAGTCAGGCAGCCCGCAGCGCAGGTTGACCATGGTTCCGTTGCGAGAGAGGGCTTGTGCCAGGCGTGCGTTGCCGCCCACAGAGCGGCCTCCATTACTGTATAACTTCCTTGATTACTAGGCCTAGGTTTTTTAAATTTATTCTACAAAGTGAAATTGTCAAGTTGTAAGGGCGAGTTTCCTCTAGTGATCACAACTGACAATTTCACAAGAACGTTAAATCGTGGTCTACCACCATAACGAGTGTAATAAATTTTATAATACCATACTGATATCAGCTGGTGAAATAGATCCGGGCTAGGAAAGTTCAAATAAGCAGTCAATTGGACATGAAGATCCATTCAAGAGTCTCACAAGAAACCAAAATTTTCGTGCCCGTCTGAGTCAGAGTGAGCATTGGGAAACTCTGGATTGTCTTCCCTTAGTTTTAGCCACGCTATTTTACATGTTGTGCTCTCCTTATCCGTATGTGCTCCCTTCGCAAAATAATCCCCAGACAATATAATAATAACGTAAGCACAGGCAAAACAGGCAGAAAACGTACAGTTTAAAAGTTGACAAATTAACCTTATCAGTACGTCGTGTTTTAAAATAGTATCCATACGACGAGGGGAACTCTGTGCCCCAACTTTCCAAAGAGGAAATTTACTCGTTAATCCGATACGTATGTTTTGCATAGCAATTTGTCAAAATGATTTTTTATTAGAAATACTGAAAGTTCCAAAGAGATCTTCGTACTAGAAGTATTCTACAATGTGAAGAATACAACCCCTGGGGTAAAAAATGACCCCAGGCGTACGGATAGGGTTAAGAAACTGCGTTTAGATGACATGTTGTCGTGAGAATAGAGATAACTTTGATTTCAAACTTTGCAACCAAAACCCACCAATGGCTCGGGGGTCGTTTGCTAGCATATCCTAGCCTTTCAAGCATTGCACCAATGATAGTACATAACAAGATGGTTCACTCAGCCAAAAAAGTGTCCGCAGGAAGTATGCTCTTTGCTTCAGATGGCGCTGCAGTCTGTTTTGAAGCTCTCTTTCGTTTTTCCAGAAGAAGAATAGGAATAGCACCTCCTTGCGTGCGCAGATCGATTGCTGTTCATCAGCAGTTCGGGTACGTTCAGTGCGTAGTTTTAGGTTTTTTTTTATTTTAATGACCTCTCGCCTTTCATTCTAAAGTCAAATTAAACGAAGAAAACCATCACCCTTTCCTCCAGAAAAGGTTTTTTGTCAGCGTAACCATTTTAAAAAAGCGTTCTTCCGAAATTTATCCCAAAACATGCTAGTTTCACTTTGATTTTTAAAAACTCAAGTAGGGTAACTCTGTTCGCAAAGAGTGCGCTTTTGTGAAGAGGGCGCCACCAAATTTTGAGGACACTTTTTTAATTGGCTCAAAGAGAGAAGTGGCCCATCTTGTTATGCACTAAAATACATCGCCGCACTCCTACGTAATCCGGGTTCACTATGGTGCAAACTATTTAACTCAATTTGGAACAAAACTAAGGGCAATTTAGTGAGTTGGGCCTTCTCTCTTCTATAGGGACAGTGGGAGACTGCTGTTTGGCACTTCATTTGGGCGCCTTTGGTGAGGGGGCTTAGCAGTAAAGTTTTTACAGAGGGGAAAAAGCGGCTGCCATAACATTGCACAGTCTAGGAATATTATGATTCAAGTCTATACTTTGCTAACAAAATGTTAGAAGGCAAATATAGTGAGCGAAGTAATTTATGCAAATTTGTATAAGCTTATTTCACGTGTGAGATATCAGCTTAGCCTGAACTGTGTGAAATATAAGGATTTACTTTACCGGAAGTGCTCTGCTAAAACAACTCCTAGTATGGTGTAACATTTTTTATTATATTATGATTTATCCTACTTGTGAAATTGCCAGTAGAAAGGACTCGTTGAAACTCATGATTACAACTTGGCAATTTCACTCGTAGGACAAATCATTATCTATCACCATAACACAAGTAATAAATTACTTATCTTATCTTATCTTATCTTATCTTATCTTATCTTATCTTATCTTATCTTATCTTATCTTATCTTATCTTATCTTATCTAATTTTATCTGAGTGTCTCCCCCAAAAGTATTTCAAGTTCAAACCTTGCCGCTTCAGTGCCATTTGTTGTTCCGATTTGCGATTTTCCTTTCGGTAAATTGGTCCACTTAAATCTGAGGTCCCAGTTGAACCCACCAATCAGAAGCTTGCTTGCGGAATATTGGAACGTCTTCTTGTTTATGACGTCAATGATGGGGACAGCCACCACTTTATGGTCTGTAGATACTCGTTCCAGGAGCGGCTCTAACCAGCCTGGGTAATATAGTAGAGAGGAGATATGAGTGAGAGATGGACCGAGCAAGGGGTGGTAGAGAGAAAAGAGAGAAAGGAAGCTACACACTAACAGAGAGAGAGAGAGACAGAGAGACCGAGATAGACAGACAGACAGAGAGACAGAGAGACAGAGAGAGAACGAGAGAGAGCGAGAGAGAGAGAGAGGGGGAGAGAGAGGGAGAGACAGAAAGAGGGAGGGAGGAAGACAGATCGACAGACAGACAGACAGACAGACAGACAGACAGACAGACAACATATACTTGTCTAATAACCAGCTTGAAAAAATGTATTGTAGATATTAAAGACTAGTTGACATCAAACAGACTCAAGATGGATGATAATAAAAACAAAATCATGATTTGCAATGTCAAAACAGGGATATTGCCATGCAGAGAGGACTATAATAATATCTGTATTAGGAACACAGAGTTATGGGTTGGGAATAAGAACATCCTATTCATGGCTAAAGCTACAACTTTAAGCGTTTATTTTAACATTAAACTGTCGGTGCACCACCTTCATAATATTAAACATCTATGTAAATTAATGCATTCTAAAATTTAACAAAATAGGGCAAACTGCTACCTCAGAATTACAAAATTCTATCTGGCATTTTTGGCCATGTTTATTTACTAAGTCCATGACATCAAAAATCAAATTATGCTCTGTCTGCTCTATCAAATCGTAAGATTATTCTGGGTGGTTATAAAGTTATTCAAAGAATTTTATTCGAAAAGGTTTGACAGATTCTTAAACTAAAGATTTTTTACGTCAAATTTCTTTAAACTAGGTATTTAGCAGACAGAACTTTGTGTAATTCTGAGGTATGAAAATGTTAACGTGATTAGTGTCGACTCTATAATACAGTTCTTATCTTTTTTTGTACTTTTACATTCAGACCACTGTAATTATCTTTTGGGAAACATTGTCACCGAAACGATAAATATGTTACAGCGACCTCCGAACCAAGCTGCTCGTATAATTATGAAGTAACTTGACAAGGAGCATGAAATATCAATGTTAATCCTGCTTCACTGGCTCCCCGTGAAAGTACTTATTCACTTCGGGATGGCTGTTCTTCGTTTTAAGTGCGTCAACAACATAGCACCTTTCACATCTTTGCAGTTTCATCATCAAATAAAATGTGTTCAAAATAAAACTAGAGAATCGAAGGTAGAGCTTTTTAATACGACAGCCACCACCACTACCATTCCTCATTCTGTTCCCCTAGGGGAGCGACCTCTTTCTCGAAATTGTAATCAATGCTTCAAACGCATTTCGTCGTCCAGCGGTTCAGATGTATAAATGGGGGAATGCCACACCATACTTTTCAACCGCTTTGACATCAAGTTTTGTTTTTAATAAAAAAGGGTTACGAAAGAACTGAGGAAATCAACCGAAGACATACAGGATAACATGCAATTTGCCTATCTTGCCAAGAGGGGCGTAGAGGATGCCATTCTCGTGTTCTTAGATAACATCTACAAACTCTTAGACACACCAAGAAATTACAGCAGGATACATTTTGCTTATTTTTCCTCCGCATTCAACACAATTCAACCCCACATAATGGTTTCAAAATTTATTAACATGAACATAAACAAGAACATTATAGCTTGGATTCTTGAGTTCTTAATCAATCGACCTCAATATGTAAAATCAAATAGTGTAAAATCCGACCTAATATTCACGAAACAGGTGTGCCCCAAGGTTGTGTAATCTCCTCGTCTTGTTTACGCTCTACACTAACGACTGTACTTTTGATAACAAAAACATCAAACTAATAAAATTTGCTGATGATTCCACTCTACAAGGCCTTATAACAACATATGAGAATGAATACAGGGACGCTGTAAATGTATTTACAAATTGATGTGATAACCACTTCCTTTTACTAAATGTTAAAAAGACAAAGGAATAAATAATAGACTTTAGAATTTTAAAAATGACCTATTGCAACCGCTATTTATTAAAGACGAGGAGGTGGAGGTGGTAAGCTCTTACAAGTATCTTGGTGTAACAATCGATAGCAAACTTGACTGGCATCCCCACGCTGCTCTTGAGCATAAAAAGGTAAATCAAAGAAAAAAGAGAAATACGATTATGTCCCTTTTACACCATTCTATGATTGAAAGTGTGCTATTATTCTGTATTTTCTGCTGGGGTGGGAATTGTAAGGTGAAAGATAAAGAAAAATTTGACAGAACCATTAAGAAAGCCAGAAAGATCTCTAGATATGATTTTACTAGAATTGACGAAATGTATAACACCACACGTATAAAAAAGGATAAAAAGCATCACATATCCTTTTCACACAAATTGTAAGATCACGCAGAGGAAGATTATGTATATCCAAAATCAAAGAACGAAAGATATAAAAGATGTTTTTACCATCTAGCATAAGGCTTTTTGTCAGAATGAACATAATAATGTGTGTTGCTCTTAGAGTATTTATATGTGTATATATATATATATATATATATATATATTTATATGAACATAAACAAGAACATTATAGCTTGGATATATATATAGACAACTCAAAAGGACTTGTAATTAAATTCCTGCATGTGGTTGAATGATGCATCTGGTCTGAATGTATATTTTGTCAGATATACTTCTCTATTCGTATTGAATTTTATTGAGAGCAATATATCATTTTAATTTTTAATGTTTACCTGTGTGTGTTTTTGTGGTCCTGTACAGCCAGGAATAATTTCAATCTTGGATAATAAAGTATTTTTAAATCTTTTCTTATCTTATCTTATCTATTGGATTGTGAGACAAGTGTTATAGAAGATACTTTATGCAGAAAGAGGAGACGTCCTCCACAACTGTTTTACTTTGAGTCTGATACGTTAGGAAACAATACAAGATATCACGATCCGCATACTTCCATTTTTCAAACTTAATTAAAAATGTAATATTGCGGGGCAATTCCACATCCACATGAGCACACATACTGTACTAAATGAAGATAAAAAGACAGACTTACACGAAATTAAAGCTGAATTGAAAAATAAAACATGACAAAGAGAAGTAAATGATTGAAGCTGAATGTCAAACATATTTCTGTTGGTTCTAAGGTGCTGTAAATGGGGGCGTGGAATTACCCCAGGTGTGGAAAACCTCGACCTTTCCAGACTAACCAAAAATGTTTTGTTTGTTATACTGTGATTGTCGTTTTTTCCTCTGTGATACAGGTTGTATGTGCCCAAGAAATATTTTGTAGTAAATAATTTATAAAGAACAACCCCCCTCCTTTTTTTTTTACTGTAAGAACAATTTTTTAAAAAGAAGGATACGGTTTGTTCTATTTCCTGAAAGGTTTTCCTTTCTGAACATATCTTTCAACAGCTTGCCCTCCAATTGTTTCAGGCAAACTTATATTCGCGATGGCCTACATTCCCAGCTTTTCGAGAATTTAGAAAATCATTTCAGTTTGTTAATCTCTGATAATGGTAACATGTGCTCAAAAATATTTTATAGGAATTCTATTATATGTTGAAAACAAAACAGCATCAAGAAAACTACGTAGCGTGTGTACAAGTGTTGTATAAAAAAATGAAATCGTATTTTCTCTCTATCTCTTGTTTGAAATGTTTCTTTTTGGGCAAAGTACGTCTCGGCAGTTTGTCGAGGATTTGTTTCTAGCCTGGTTTAATTAGCAATGACCGACTTTTCTAATTCACATTAACAAATTGTCATGATCAGGTAGACGTCATGTGTTTTCAAATGCCACATTGTAACTTCTAGTTCCGTCACGCATAAAATGTCCCACGGCGATAGCAACTTCACATGCAACATAATATTACAGGAGAAGTAACGAGAAATGAAAATAGACAAAAGCTGAAAGTGTAAAGTATTATAATGTACAAAAGTTTATTAGGGTACTCTGTAAAATTAAAAATACATAAAAATGAATATTCTCCCTAGTGAAAATTGCAGGGAAATAGGCCTGCATGCTCTTGAAATAGTTAATGGTGCAAGCTCCACACGTCATCCCAAATTCTCCCATTTGATTCATAAAGACATTCTTTGTCGTCTTGACGAATGTTTGAGAACAATTTTTTTTCACAATGCGTTAATTTCCCAAGTTTCTGGAATTCTTTGAATTCCTCGCTAAAGAGGCGTCAAGAGACCAACAAATCTTTAGAGAAAATTTGAAGCTACAGGTGGTATTTAAACTTTAAAACAATATAATATTTGAAACTGAAAAATGCCGGCACAATACGTCTTCATAAAACATTGCCTATTTTAAGGTACAATGTGGCACTGCATCTTACAATGTGGCATTTAATGTTGCAGTGTAGTCGAAAATACTCGGTGTGCATTTGATTGGAAAACATGCAGCTATGCAATGGTTTCTCTTCGTATATATATATATAATATCTTTTTGTGTGGTTCTATTCATTGCGTGCGGTGCGGTGGCGGAGCGGTTAGTGCGCTCGTCTCCGAAGCGGAAAGTCCGGGTTGGAGCTCCGGTTCGGACACGAATTTTTTTCGCCCCTTCCTGCCCACAAAGCAGTAATGGGTACCTGACTTCGAGTTGGGGAAGTGAAGGCGGCGTGGAAAGGAACTGGCCATCTTACCACAAAATGTCGAGGGCCCAGGAAGTTGTCTCACTGACTAGGCAATCCCCAATGTCCGGATCGGATGCAGGAACAACTTTACTTTTTCTTCAATATGGTGTTTTGTAACAAGAGGCGGTGTGTCACAATTTATGTGTTTGTATGTGTGTGCGTATGTGTGTGCATGCCTGCGTGTGTGCGTGCGTGCGTGCGTGTGTACGTGTGTGTGTGTGTGTGTGTGTATGTGTTTGTGTGTGTGTGTGTGTGTGTGTGTGAGAGAGAGAGAGAGAGAGAGAGAGAGAGAGAAAGAGAGAGAGAGAGAGAGAGAGAGAGAGAGAGAGAGAGAGAGAGAGAGAGAGAGAGAGAGAGATTGTGAGAAAGGGTCGCTATTTAAAAGGAATTTTTTTCATTATTGTAATGTGCATTAAACACCTTCTTACATGATATGCGCGACTTAAGTTATATCCTTATCGTATTTAATTAAACATAGTTAAGCATACTGCTAGAGCATGCAAAAGTCGTGACATTTCCTTTGAGGACTTACCCACATGACACTCGCAGTGCGAGTCTAAGAACGTGAGAGTGTCTCCAGTTGCCTGAGCAGTCCCGATAAGCCGGGCTCTGATTAATCCTTCTCGGCGAGAAGTTCGAAGTAGCCGGACTTTTGGGAAGGTAGACTTTACGTATTTTGCCAACGGTGTCTTTAAATGGTCTGAAGACGAAAAGAACAGCTAGCTCTTTAAATGCGCCGAAATGTGAGCATACACACAAAGAGATAAAAGACAGCCCTGCACACAATTTGAGTTAAGCATCTGAATCTTGATTCCAAAAAAATAGAAAATATATCCCTCCCCTCCCACTTCCCCGAATGAAACCTCAAGTGTACGAGTAGTTTCTTTAGTTTTTGAAAGCTCAATTTTTCAATTTTGGAAGTGAAACGGCTATCGAAATGCTTTAAAACGTATCTTACTGCCAAGATTGAAATATCTAAACTAATTAAGATGTTTCATTTTACTTCACACGTTAAGGATGACAAGAACTGAGTTGGCCTGATGTTTGACCGTTCCAAGGGTCACTCTGGTTCCTATAACGAGATTAAAATGTGCAACATCGTGGCAACCATATCTGTCAGCAAATTTACAATTCTTGGTCCACATCTTTGTTTTACTTTCAAGAGCAAGTGATGTATTTATGATATAAAAACATGCTTTTTGTTCAAGCACTATTTTTCCAAACAGGAATCAATCTTTAAATTTCTATCCAAACAAACAGGTATCAAATAATTAGCCAAACTAGCAATACTTAAGAAAAGTGAAAAAAAAAACGTAGCAGAAATTATTGCAGCAATTGCCCACTCTCTCTCTCTCTCTCTCTCTCTCTCTCTCTCTCTCTCTCTCTCTTTCACCATTGCCAATCTCGCTATCCAAGTAACCACCAACCAGGATAACAACCTTTCCACACACTCATCATATATTTCATACCCAGATGAGAAAAGTCGTCAACGAGAATGACTTCCTTAAGCAGCCCGGGAGGTGAGCGGTCAACAACACTGTGCAATGTCCTCAGCAGAACTGACCAAGCCTCATTGTGGAAGCAGATGATGACGCTTGTGTCAGGGAGGTGGGACGAGTACTGAATGTCGTGGCAACTGATGGATTCACCCAGAGGGTGCAAATGAAAAGGAGGGGGGGGGGGTAATTTATCTGTAACTGCTCTTCAATATCTGCAGAAGTAAAATACACGCTTCTAAAAAAGCGCCACCCTCCCCCCCCCCCCCAGCCCCCAAAGTACCAGAGATGTAACAACTTGAACAACAATAACAATTGGACACAAACTAAAACAAACAAACAAACAAACAAAAAAACAAATAACAATAACAAAAAAAACCCTGTACAAACTAGACGTTTAAGGAGGCAGGCTACATCTATCCTTCTTCTAAAGTTGTACTTTAAGGTGGATTTTATTACGGAGACCTACCTAAAAACAACAATTAAGAAAGCAAACAACTGTGTCCCCACGTTCAAATCGGAATAATAAAGGCAAGAGCCTATGGCGTCAGTACTCTGCAGAAGCCAGCTGCGACACGCTGTTCAGGTGCGTTCAATCTATCAATATCATTACAATATGTTATATAACATTATATAATACAATTTTAATTTCAGGGTTTTTTTTGCATGCACCAGTGTTTGTGTGTATGTGCCGGCGTGTCGAAAGGGTGGCAAAAGAGGGAGGGGGCGTAAGGCGGTGCACGTGGTGCTATAAGAATGTACTTATTTGTAAGAAAAATAATCAATAAATTTATTATTGTTATTTACACAAACACAAACAAACACAGACACCCACCCCCCCCCCCCCACACACACACACTCACAAACACACACACATACATACACACACAAACTCTCTCAAACACACACATGTTTATATTAGCACTGAAATGATAGTGCATAATTTTACTTAATTTCCTCCTTTGAACTTCGCAAATAAAAGAAGTTTGAAATGAGATGGAGCCGCGAGCCAAGGGTGCCACGCTATTCCTCTCAAGCTCTTTTTCTTGCGACTTCAAAATTTTATACAGATTTATTTTGAGACATTGGTCTTATATACTTTATTTTCCTTTATCTTTACTCTTGAGTCACAAGATGTCAATGGGAGGTGCAATTTGCGGCCAAGGTCTAGGTAGGTGGCTTCCGTTGTTGATTTTTTAAAAATATTGATATGAAACACCCTGTTTTTAAAGGAGTTCTTTAACGTCATCGAGCCAGGTTTTGCATGGTCTGCCTATACCCCTGTATCCGTAGCCTATTCTTCTAAGTTGAATATTAGAAATAGTAGCCCTTTCGTATGCGTAATCAACTTGTCCAAATCATTTAGATTCACTCAAAGAGCATAATTCAATGCTTAATTACGAAAGTATGTTTATTTTAATTGCACAATCTTCTCCAACACAAGAAAATGTATTATGATTGCAGCCCTCACACAACTCTACTGCAGATATTAAATAATAGAGATGAAGATTGCGACTTATTTCCAAATATTTGTCACGATATGCGAGGAGTTGGGAGTGTTCTGCTCCAGGACAGCCTGGAAGGATCTGGAGTAATCACTAAACGAGGAAATAAACTAACACCAAGGTTAACATGCAATCTTCTTCAACATTTTATCTTCAGTCTTGTTGCCATCATTATCATCATCATCATCATCATCATCATCATCATCATCATCATCATCATCATCATTATCATCATCATCATCATCATCATCATCATCAAACAACTCCCCTATTTCTTGTTTTGCTTTTCTTGAGGCACAGCAATTTGTACCATGTTGGCACATTTTTGCGAAACTTATATACTCGTATATCCGGAGCACTGGGGAACAGCGACTCTATTTTTAAAAAACAGGAGAACAATTCGTTCGTGGAACAGTGACTGTGGTGAGCAAATATCATCATCTCGATGGTGTTGATCATTATATCAATGAGGCCCGACGACGATAGAAATTTCTGTTACAAACTTATTGAATGTTACGTTCTGTCTTTAAAATAATGCTAAATTCGAAACCAGCGTATCAAAATAAGAAAATAGCTCGTGAGGGACTCTTTTCCCTGCTGAATGTAGAAGATCACCAAAAAGTATGGTCTACCTCGGTTGCGTCAAGTATGAATTTTCTCATCACAAAGAGGGAGGACAATTTAACTAACTGTCAGTATTAACTGATCTTTTGTAAACCGCCAAAGTCAGGATTGGGCGAGGCGAGCTGTGACCCTAAATCTCTTTGTAGGGCGGGATTTTTAAAATGATTATTGTCGCTAAAAATGTATTTCCCTTTTGGGAATCAGCGTATCAAAATAAACAAAGTGACTCGCGTTGAACCTGATTTGATGCCCTATTTAAACTTAAGCAAAGTTCGTTTTTATTGTTAATTTTGAATCTGAAGTCATGTATCAAGGTTACCCGCTGCGTCGTGTACAGTATCGTTATTCTCTTTATTGAGATGAAGGGGCCTACAGATCCGACTAATGTTTGTGAATGACGAAGTCCAGAGACCTCCATAACAAGAACTGTATCACTTTGCAAACAATTAAGTCAAGATGCAACTAAAGACGTTCGTGATTTACCACTCCCCCCTCCCACAACGACAACAACAACAAAAAAGACACCAAAAACAAAAACGAAACACCTCACAACAACAGTGTGAGTTAAGCTATTTCGCTAAACCAGTCTTTTGTTGAAATGACCCTTATTTTTTACTTGGAAATCGATACAAAATGCAACATCTGGTTTTACTATATTCGATACTATAGGTAATTACATCATGATAATCTGAAAGAAAGAAATTATACATGTAGTGATATACATGTACTATATCAGGTCGCTGTTCCCCTGGTCGCTGTATATCGGC